AAATCTAATAAAGAAAACATGAAAAAAAAGAACAGAAGATTTGACCCAGCTGTGAAGGAGAGAGAAATTTATCATGATTTAAGAAATAAAGACAATATGTATATATCTTAATATATAAACACACCTTGTATAGAGTGAGACAAAATGAAGACGTAAAATGAAAGAATGGAGGGAAATATTTGTCACATAATTCATAAAATTATACCATTCAAAATACAGAACTGTTATAAATGTGTAAGGCCAAAAGTAAATTCTTCCAAAAGACAGTTTTCTTTTAGTATATGTCATAGGAAATAAAATATACTTGTAGGAAAAAATATGTATACTTCTAGGAATTAAGTACAAATTGAAAGAAATTCAGGTACCATTATATAACTATAAATTATCCAAAAACAAAATGATAAGATAGAATGAATGTTTGTGAAGAAATAGATGGCATTTAATCAATTTATTTAGTCTACCTAAAGTGAATTCTGGGAATTCATCACAGAAATTGTAATACTAATTCTCAATAATTTCACTTTCTGGAATATGCTTCCAAAGCTAGGGAGGTGAGGGAGTCATATTTTTATATATATATATATATAATTCTTTTTTTTTTTTGCTGAGGAAGTTTTGCCCTCTGCTAACATCTGTGCCAGTCTTCCTCTATTTTGTATGTGGGACGCTGCCACAGCATGGCAGACAATGAGTGGTATAGGTCCACGCCCAGGAACCAAACCCAGGTCACTGAAGTGGAGTGCACCAGTCCTAACCACTAGGCCACAGGGCTGACTCCAGGAGTAATTTTTTATACATAGATCCTCCTAGAGAAAAATTAGAAACAATGAATATGCCCAAAAGTAGAGAAATGGCTATGGAATTTGTAGCTTATTAACACAGTCTAATACCATTTTGAGATTTAAAATGATGTTTGTGGAGCCAGCCCTGGTGGCCTAGTGGTTAAATTCAGTGTGCTCTGTTTTGGCAGCCTGGGTTCAGTTCCTGGGCGCGGACCTACACGACTCATCTCTGAGTGGCCCTGCTGTGGTGGCAGCTCACATACAAAAAGAGGAAGATCGACAGCGGGTGTTAGCTCAGGGCAAATCTTCCTCAGCAAAATAAATAAATAAATGAATAAATAAAATGATATTTGTAACCTGTGTTGAATAATGGAAATGGTTATATAAAATACATTAGGAAGATACATCACAAAAGATTGTTGGTGTTCATCTATGTAAACACTTAATCAGATGGGGCAGAATACTTGGTCGTTAAATGGAGCTTACAGGAATTCTGTTTTTCTTATAACATTACTTAAGTCTATAATTTTTAAAAAGTGTCTTTAAACTTCTTGAAAATTCAAATGTAATTTTGTCTTCTGAATTGTGATTTAGTCATGTAATAGATTTTATTTAGAGGATTATGTTATTTTTCCTAGATGGAGATCAGCCTCCTTTTTCTGAGCCGAAATTCCCTACAGAATGCTTCTTTCTTACCCTGCATGCCCACCACCTGTCTATTCTGCCGAGTTGCCGTCGCTATATCCGAAGACTCCGGGCCATCCGGGAGCTCAATAGGTATGTGCATGATGCCACGTCTTGAGATTGCTTGAGTCACCACTTGTTTTTGTGAGCAAGCAGTTCCATTGTGACCAGTAGATTTGAATGTGGTGGGTATGTATGTTATGGTGCACCATCTGCCTCCACTACCACATCCGTGTTCCTCAGTTGACCAGAGTGCTTAACATAGTAAAGTGACCCAAACTTTGGTTTCTTAGAGTTCTTAACCCTTGGTATGTAGTTACTATAGACTTCCATTAACTTCTACTGGGCATGGTATTATCAGGAGGCATTTTAAAGGATCTCTTGGGTTCCAGACATACCCCTCCTTCCCTGGACTGTGAAACAGTAATTCTGGTTTCCCTTGATAAAAGATCATTTACTCCCCCCAACAAGTAATTCATTTTTTTTGCATGTTGTCCTGTGGCATGTAGAGTCCAAAATGGCTGGATAGTAGCCTCAATTTCCAATTCATTAGCACCATTGTTGTTTTTCTTAATCTAAGCATTTCTCCCCATGTACCAGCACCTCTAAACAAACAAAAGTCACAGGAACAGGAAGCAAACATTTTTTTGAACAGGTCATCTGGGATAATAACAGAGTGGCCACTTCCACCTTTTGGTCCAGGACTGGTGTAGTCTGGCCATGACAGAAGGTGTGTCATATCTATATCTATATCCACCTTGCTAAAATATTAATTCTAATAGTTATTCTGTAGATTCCTTAAGATTTTCTTTCTACACATAATCATGTTGTCTGTAAATGATGACAGTTTCTTTCTTTCTTATGCATTTTTTTTTCATGCCTTAGTGCCCTGGCCACAATTCCTACTACAATCTTGGATAGAAATAACCTTGAAATTTCTCTTATTCCAATTAATGGGAGAAAGCTTTTTTGTATATCCTCTGTTGTCAGATTAAGAAAGTTCCCTTTTATTTCTAGTTTTTAAAAAGTTTTTTCTTCTTCACAAGAGTTGAATTTTTTTTAATACTTTTTCCATTTCTATTGAGGAGATCAGATGTTTATTTCCTCCTTTATTCTGTTAATGTGGTTGAATTGTATCAATTGGTTTCTTATATCAAATCAATCTTTCATTCTTGGAATAAACTCAACTTTTATATTATATTATTTCTTTTGTATCTCACTGGATTTCAATTTGCTAATACTCTATTTAGGATTTTTGAGTCTATGTTCAAAAGAAAGGCTGGCCTATAATTTTCAATTCTTGTTAAGTCCTTCCCAGATTTTGGTATCAACTTTATGCTTGCCACATAGAATGACCTGAGGAATGTTCTCTCTTTTTATATTCGTGTGTGTGTGTGTGTGTGTGTGTGGGTGTGAGTGTGTGAGGAAGACTGACCCTGAGCTAACATCTGTTGCCAATCTTCCTCTTTTTACTTGAGGAAGACGGTCCCTGAGCTAACGTCTGTGCCAATCTTCCTCTACTTTGTATATGGGACACTGCCACAGCATGGCTTGATGAGTAGTGCATAGGTCTGTGCCCAGGATCCGAACCCATGAACCCCAGGCCACGGAAGCAGAGTGTGCAAACAACCACTATGCCACCGGGCCAGCCTCTCTCTTTTTATATTCTTTGGAAGAGTTTATTATATAAGAATTATGTTATTTCTTCCTTAAATATTTAGAAAAATTCACTGATGAACCTGTCTGGGCTTAGAGTTTTCTATGTGGGAAGGTTTTTAATTATGTATTTTATTCAATTAATAGATATAGGACTATTTAGATTTTTATTACATCTTATGTCAGTTTTCCCATGATATCTATAAAGTTTCAAAATTGTTAGGCATAAAATTATTCATAATACCCTCTTTTTATCATTTTAATGTCTGTAGGATCTTTATTATTTCCTTCTACTTTCTTTTAGTTTAATTTGCTTTTTTTTTTTTTTTTTTTTTGAGGAAGATTTGCCCTGAGCTAACATCTGTTGCCAGTCTTCCTCTTTTTGTTTGAGGAAGATTCGCCCTAAGCTAACATCTGTGTCAGTCTTCCTCTCTTTTGTGTATGGGTCGCTGCCACAGCATGGCCACTGATGAGTGGTGTGGGTCCACGCCCAGAAACTGAACCTGAGCCGCTGAAGAGGAGCGCACCAAACTTGACCACTAGGCCACGGGGCCATCCCCTTAATTTGCTTTTCTGTCAATGTTTCTATTGCCTCTTGAGATTGATACTTAAATCATTTATTTTCAGTCCTTTCTTATACAGTCAGCCCTCCATGTCTGTGGGTTCCTCTTCCATGGATGGATATGAGCATTCTCAGATTTGGGTATCCAAGGGGGGGGTGGTCCTGGAACCAATCCCCTGGGGATACCAAGGGATAGCCGTCTATGCATTTAAGGCTGTTCAGTTTCCCTCTAAGCATGGCTTTAGCTGCATCCCTCATTTTTGGTGTGTCATTTTTTTTTATGTATATATAATTGATATATAACATTATATTAGCTTCACATGTACAATGTAATGATTCGATATTTGTGTGTATTGTGAAATGACAACCACAATAAATCTAGTTAATATCCATCATCATATATAGTTATAATTTTTTTTTCTTGTGATGAGAACTTTTAAGATCTACTCTTATGAACTTTCAAATATGCAATACAGTATTATTCACTGTACTCACCACGCTATACATTACATCCCTGTGACTTATTTATTTTATAACTGTAAATTTGCACCTTTTGGCCGCCTTCACCCATTTGGCTCATCCCCCCACCCCAGCTCTGGCAACCACCAGTCTCTTCTTTGTATCTAGGAGCTCGGGGTTTTTTTGTTTTTTTTAAGATTCCACAGATAAGTGAGATCATATGATATTTTTCTTTCACTGTCTGACTTATTTCACTTAACAATGCCCTCAAGATCCATCCATGTTGTTGCAAATGGCAAGATTTCACTCTTTTTTAAGGCTAAATAATATTTCATTGTATGTATATACCACATTTCTTTATCCATTCATCCATCAGTGGACACTTAAGTTGTTTGTATGTCTAGGCTGTTGTAAATAATGCTACACTGAACATGGGGGTGCATATATTTTTTCAAATTAGTGTTTTTATTTTCTTCAGATAAATACCCTGGAAGTGGAATTGCTCAATCATAAAGTAGTTCTAATTTTAAACTTTTGAGAACCTCTGTACTGTTTTCCACAGCGGCTGCACCAATTTACATTCCCACCAGCAGTGCACAAGGGTTCCCTTTTTTCCACATCTTCACCAACACTTGTTATTTCTTGTCTTTTTGGTAATTGTAACTGGTGTGAGGTGATATCTCATTTTGTTTTTTGATTTGCGTATCCCTTGTGATTAGTGATGTTGAGCACCTTTTGGTATGTGCTATTTTATTGTTCAGTTTAAAATATTTTCTAATTTTTATTATTTCTTGTTTGACCTGTGAGTTATATAAACATATATTGCTTCAATTCCAGATTCCTGGGGAATTTGTCCATTTTCTTGTGTTGTCGATTTCTAGCTAAATTCTGTTGTGGTTGAGAAGACATATTCTGATTTGTGTCCTTTGAACTTTATTGAGATTTGCTTTATAGCCTAACATTTACCTTAGTAAATGTTCCATATAGGCCTGAAAAGAATGTGCTTTCTGTATTGTTCCTTGCAGTGTTTCACATATGTGAATTAAGTTCAGTTTGTTCATCTTCTGTTTGAATTTTCTTTATATCTGCTGATTTTATCAGCTTATAAAATCAGTTATTGAGAGAGACTTATAAAAATTTCAAACTATGATTGTGGGTTTGTCTGTTTCTTTGTCCTGGAATGGATGCTGTCCTGGGATCCTGTCATGCCCACTCACCTTGCAGGATACATTTCAACGGTACCGTCTGCCACCTTCACTCCCAGCCTACAGTGGACAGTTACTGTTGTGCTTTTTAGAGATGATGGTGTTCCCCTCACCCGTGTATTTTTCAATGCTGTGATACAAGAAGTGTCCTCTAGGACATAGTTGCAGTGTGTGTGTGTTTTGGGAAGGCGGTTATCTGAGCTAGTCATGTATCGTAAATCTATATTAATATTCCCAGCTTCGTAAGTTTTGGATTCCTTCCTCTGAGTTATATCAAGACAACTCAGCTTCGTTCAGAATAGGTCACTGTCAATTCCAAGTTTCACTCAGCTAGCTGGGCACACAGTTAGATCTCTTGCAGCTGCTCAGGATAATGTTGATTGCAGAAACTCTGGTAGATGTAATCATGTCAATGAAGTTAGCCCTACATAGAAATATGTTAGCATGTTCCTCTCTTGCTGATCAAGCATCTTCCGAATCCATTTCCACACATACTGCCACATTTCTGTCCCTACATAGGTAGCAGGTAGAATAATGGTGTCCTAAAGATATTCACATCCTAGTCCCCGGAGTTCCCTCTTTACATGGTAAAAGAGACTTTGCAGATGTGATTGAGTTTAGGATCTTGAGATGGGGAGATTTTCCTGCATTATCTAGGTGGACCCAATGTATCACAAGGATCCTTATAAGAGGGAGGCAGGAGGGTCAGAGTGAGAGAAGGAAATATGATGACAGAAGCAGATGTCAGAGTGATGTGAGTTCACAAGCCAAGGAATGCGGGTGAGCTCTAGAAGCTGAAAAGGGCAAGGAAATGTTCCCTAGAGCCTCCAGAAGGAACGCATCCCTGCTGACCCATTTTAGACTTTGACCTCCACAACTCTGTAGTTATGTTGTTTCAGGCCACTAAGTTTGTGATAATTTGTTTCAGTAGCAATAAGAAACTAATATACACATTAGCAAATCTTACCTTTTTTTTTTTTCCTTCGAATATGTGCTTCTCCTGTGTGTGACTTTGTAATTGGCCCATAAGGATGGTCATTGATCTCACTCTAATTATGGTTCTAGAGGCAATGAAGTATGATAGTTGGAACCTAAGGGAAATTGGCATCATTCTGCAATGTAACTACCTCAGGTGCGATCATTGCGGGAGCTGCTTCTGCTAGCAAGGGAGGCTCAGGGGATCTCGGTATTTGGGTACTTCGAGTCATCAAATTCTCCCAGACTCCTCCATTTGAAGTCTTGGACTCCTAGTCTTTGCTCCAACTTTCAGATAAGAGACCCAGTAAGGTTATGAATTCAGTCCATATTATGATTTGCTACTTCGTGAGACCAGACTCTACTTTGTGGTCATCTTAGAAACTCCCTGGTTCATTGACTTTCCTTTGAGGTGAGCTTTTCAAATCTTGAGCCTGTCATTTTATTCTGTAAGCTCTCCAGCATAGTTAGAAGTAGCCACTCCATCTCTGCATTCCAGGAGATCACTGGTGATCATTTATGCATCTCTTTTTCCATGAGAGCCTTGGGCTACCAGTGTTCTGTCCTCAAATGCTAACTGAGTCTTTACCACTTTCACACTAGCCCCGTTAAAGAAGTAATCCGAGAGGCCCTTTTTTCTTGAGGGCCTGTTACCTGTAAACTCTTGTGGTGCCAATAAGCATATAGGTAGGTCTTTATATTAGTTTCCTATTGCTGCTGCAATAGATTACCACACAACCTTTGTGACTCAAAACAACATAAATTATCGTCTTACAGTTCTGAAGGTCGGAAGTCCTAAAATTACGGCTGCGTGCCTTCTGGAGGCTCTAGGGAAGAATCTCTTTCCTTGCCTTTTCCAGCTTCTAGAGACCGCCTACATTCTTTGGCTCATGTCCCCATTCCTCCATTTTCAAAATCAGCAGCATAGCATCTTCAGCTCTCCTTCTCTCTGACCTCTGCTTCAGTTGTCACATCTCTTTCTCTTATTCTGACTCCTTCTTTTCTCTTAGAAGGACCCTGTGATACATTGGGCCCACCCAGACAATCCAGGATAATCTCTCTATCTCAAGGTCCATACCCTTAATAACATCTGCACAGTCCCCTTTGCTGTGTAAGGTGACATATTCACAGGTTCTGAGGATTAGGATGTGACATCTTTGGGGGGCTGGGCATTATTCTGTCTGCCATACTTATGTTCCTGTTGTAGACAGAAGAATCCAATTTATGTGGGATAAGCAGAAAGAGGATTATTAAAGGTTACTATTTGGTTTGTTGAATCATTGGAATGGCTGGAAAAGCGGACTCCTAGAGCTCTGCTTTGAACCTGGGCTGGCAGGAAGCTGCTTCAGGCTTCAGCCTGACAGTAGAGCCTCTGCCACCACTTCAAGCAAAATCCCTCCACCTCTGTGCTTCCAGAAGAATCATGTGGCTGCCACTTCACAGTATTCACTTCTGCCTTCAGTGAAGATTCACCTCTGGGTAGAAGCTAGGTCATGTGCAGAAATGCTGGCAGCAAGGGAGTCTGCGAAATGTAGTTTTAAAGAACTTAACCTGTAGTTTTCTACACAATGTCTTAATAGAAAGGGGTTGAAATAGTGTTAAATGAGCCAGTCTTTAAAATATGCAGCATATTATGTGATCAGGGAAGACTGCCTTGCTGACAGGTGATATTTGAGCAGATACCTGAAGAGAGTGAAGGAACAATCCACAAAGACAATCTCAGAGAACAGTGTTCCAAACAGAGGAAAGATTGTAAAAGAAAAGAGGAAATGCCGTTAGTAGAGTAGCCTATTGTTTTGGGTAATTGAGTAGGCTTAGTAACCTCGAATTTTCATGAGACTTCTTTTTCTTCCTCCCAGAAAATCAGGGAACAATGTATTTCCTTCCAAAAGAGATTACTATATTTCATCAAATCTAAAGTGCCATCAATTTTAAGACATCGTTATTTTAGGAACCAGTAAGAAAGAAAAGTGCTGCCAATTAAAACATAACTTGCCATTTGATTGTAATGATTTTAGTGATGCTAAAATGGAGGGGGGAATGTTTGTCTGAGAGTCAATGAAATGGTCAAAATGAATAGATAAGATGGATGATAGATCTGTATGTTTTCTTTCATTTGACTGTTAGCCTTTGATTTCAGAACTGTGGAAGATTTGAAAAATAATGAAAGCCAGTGGAAAGATTCCCCACTGGCAACTAGACACCGCGAAATGCTGAAGCGCTGCAAAACTCAGCTTAAGGTTTGTATAGTTAATTGGAATAATTGTAGACCAGCCTCATAATAGTAATTTTCCCGCCAGAGTGTGTGCCGTGAGTGAGCAGTTTAGTGTCCTTATTTTTTCTTCATTATTCTTTTCCCCAAAACTAAAATGATACATTTAAAAACTTGATACTCTGCATGTATCTATATATAATATTTAATTCTCAGGACTGAATATGCATATGCTTATGCCAATGACAATATGAATTCTTAATGGATTTTGTCATCCTCAGTTTAACATCACCTTACCTTGTGCAAGATCCTCCCCATCTACTACCCCCCGACCCTGCACCCCAAAACACATGCATATCCAGCCACACATTTTCATGATGTTTGACGAAGTGGATTTGTGGTAGTAGAAGAATCTCTTTCCTTTGCCCCTCATTCTTCATTTTTAATTGAAAATGATCTAACACACAACCTAACTATAGATGGAAAGATTTCTGCTTATGAGACATAGCTAAAAACAAATGCTGTCTGAAGTTGTAAAAGGAAAGCATAGATAGCAAATGTATGCATTTTTCTTATGTTTATGTTCAAATTATAAAGCTGAATGTTAGCTGGTCATGTTTTCTGTTGATTAGTAGGGTGATATGTGGAAATTTTACCTGACTTAGATTTCTGGTACAAGTTAAGATTTCAGTTTTATGTACTAATAGACTAGACGTCTTCAAAATGTGGCATAAACCAGGGGCTCTTACCTGAGGTCTGTAGACCCCCTAACTACTCCGTAGCTCTGTTTCAAGGAGTCTATAAACTGTTTAAATGTATATGTCACTGTGTGTGCATGTGTGTGTTTAATTCTCACAGCGATCCGCTAAGGTAGGTGTTAGGTCCTTGGTGGACGAGCATTTTGCCCAAGGGCAGCTCATAAGTGGTAACCTGGAATTCAGGTGCAGATTTGTCTGGCTTTTTCCCACTAACTATCTCTTACTCCCAAAGGGCCTCCCTGTCAACTCCCTCACCCCCCAACCAAGTTATTTAAATATGACAGTAATAACCTGCCTTTGAGTACTAACTGTGTGCTAGGCTTGGTGCCCAGTGGTTTGCATGGCATACCTTTTGTTTTTCTTAGAACAAAGAAAGCTCTTGACATGCAACCAGCATCCTATTATAGCTAGTTAGAGATGAAGCTCTCGAAGCTCTAGAACCTAGACTTCCAGCTCCTGGCCCATTCCCTGCCAAGTCACACTGCAGGTACTCAGCTGCCGACTAACCTATGGGTGGGGACATACCTACTTCCACAGAAACTGGTACGATGCAAGGCCTGTGCTGACGCTGGTTTACTTGACGAGAGCTTCCTGAGAAGATGTCTGAATTTTTATGGCCTTCTCATTCAGCTGTTGCTCCGCATCCTGGACCCTGCCTACCCCGAGTGAGTGTGTTCTTTCCGCTTTACATCGTCATCTGTACTCGTCTGGGCTGCGTTGTCTTTTTGGTTCTTCAAAGTCAGTAACTAAAACCAAAACCCTTACTTTATCAAGAATTCATTTTTCAATTTCCAGATTGTACTTATGTAGACTATGAAATTAGTACTATTAATAAATATTTTCCCTGTAATTAATTATAGTAATAAGGGAGTGTCGACACCTGTTATTTTAATTTTGACATAGTGCTTTTTAAAAATTGGCTATAAAATCTTTGATTGATAGAAAAGTAAATCTATAAATTGGAAGCTAAAAGCGGGAGATAATAGGATATTAGGCCCTCCTAAGCACTGGGTGCAGGAAAATACCTAGCCAATTCAGAGCATGAGCTGAGAACATTGTTGATCTCTTTATCATCAGCTGGACATCTCCTCCAGGCAGCCATTTTTATTTTATTTATTATTATTTTATTGTTATTATGAAGTCTCTGGATCATGACGTTGGTGAGGTTGGCACAAGCTCTCTGCAGGAGTGGAAAGTATTTAAAGTACATGTGTAGCTCTGTTGTCTCAAACAGTTTGAGTTGCATAAAATGACCAAATATGACCCTTTTATTTCCTTCCCATTTTATTTATTGCATTAACCTTAACAGGAAATCAAGGAAAGGAAAAACATTTCATGCACACCCTAGCATATCCACTGAATTCATTATTCACTGTGCTTTGCCTCTATACTTTTTACATACTTGTATTATAGGATGAGATTTTTCCCCAAGTAAAATACTCATTTGTAATGGTAGTATAACATTCCTTGTAGTTCGATATGCCATAACAACGTTTTGTAACTTGTGCTTTTATTCTCTGACAGTGTAACACTGCCTTTAAATTCAGACGTCCCCAAGGTATTTGCAGCATTGCCTGAGTTTTATGTAGAAGATGTTGCTGAATTTTTATTTTTTATTGTACAGTAAGTGCCTTTAACGTATTGCATAATTCTAATATGTTTTTATATGTAAGGTGTATGTCATATTATGAACTATATTGCAAACCTCCATTTTGTTTAACTCCTTTAACTGAGTGCTTCCTGGAGACTAGAAAAATAAACCCAACTGTAGCACCAAGCCGATTCCAATAATGTCTCCAAGACAGAAGCAGGATTAACAATGCTGATAATACGTATTCTGTAAAAATTGAGTTGAATTTCTAACAATTGAGTATGTGTTCCTGAGAAGCAGAAGGAGCAAATGGTTTATAAATCACTGAGTGAACATTCAAAAGCCAAAAATACCCATGTCTATATTTTGTACCAAAATTCTTCTCAATTGTAATATTGGAGAAAGCTTGCAAAGGAATGCTTTGAGTTTTAACTGATATTTGAGATTGTTTTTAAATTAAAACAACTCCATCAAAAATTTTTTAAAAGTCTTTTTGGTAGTGGAGATCTTTTGTGAAACTCACCTTATAATTTAATCATAGCTTTGGTTTACTTTCTGAAATATAACATGGTATGGCCAATAGATGTGATGGGTTTTAAATCTATCTAGTTATAATGGAAACAGTCACTTTAAACTCAGCAAGTTAAAGGGAATTTAGTATCCTGGCTCCTAGACCTGTTTGCCCCCTTTCCCACTAATGACACCAACATTCCCCCAGGTTGAGTCTCTCAGAGCTTTATTTCTTGCTCTTCTCGCCTCTTCAGATACTCTCCTCAGGTGCTTTATGAGCCCTGTACTCAGGATATTGTAATGTTCCTCGTTGTGATGTTGTGCAACCAGAACTACATCCGAAATCCATATCTCGTGGCCAAACTGGTAGAAGTCATGTTTATGACCAACCCTGCTGTTCAGCCACGAACCCAGAAGTTTTTTGAAATGATTGAGAACCATCCTCTCTCCACCAAATTGTTGGTCCCTTCCCTGATGAAGTTTTATACAGGTAGGTTCCTTGGTACACAGGTAGGCCACGTTGTCCAAAGCCAGTCGACGAAGTTACTCCAGTTACTGTTACCTAATATCCTGATGTCCACTTATAAGTATAACCTACTAACCCACTGCCAGCAGAGCATGTACTGTTGGTTATTTTTCCCCTGAGTTGTGGAAACACTGCGTTGACCATTCCATATAGTGGTCCCTGATGATTCAGCATGATCCATTGAAAGTCAGATGGGTAACACTGAGATCCAGGTGGCATCAACAGCACAAGTTGATGTTTTTATCTGAAATTACCTGGTTCATTTTAACTTTGAACTTATAGCATTAGTTGCACAATACCTTCCTATAACCCAGAGTTTCAAAACTATGGGTAAAACAGGGAGCTTGTTAAAAATGCTTATTCTTAGGGACCCTACTCAAACCAATGGAATCAGGATCTCTGGGAGTCTGCACTCGTTAACTAATTCTACTCATTTATGAGTGCCTACTTTTTGCCAGGCACTGAAAACACATCACACACCCTGCAACGAGGTGCTCCTCTTCTGGTTGAATTGTATTCCAAATTTTCATTTTTAACTGGGCTTTTGAGCTACAAATGTGTTTTCATAAAGCTAATCACCTATGGAGCCTATTCACCTGTCTTCTACCATTGTACAAATGGAACATTTCCCCTCCAGTTTATGTATTTCTCAGGAATGGAGGTGTATCTTGTCTGTCTTCTTATCTTCTGTTGAACCTAGCACATTATGGGCACTGAGTAAGTGCATGGCATTTAGTAGAATGTATTCGTCGTGCCCTTGGAAGAACCGCTGGCCGCCTGGAGCACAGTCTGTTGCTGTTCACAGCAGCAACATCATTTTGAGGATTACTCTGTGTTCCGTGACAACCATCCCTTCCCTGTCAACCAAGACGTGCTCCTGCTTGTTTTGGGCTGGTGCTGTCATCTCTGTCTTCACTTCTAAGGGTTCCAAGAATCTGTCTGCCTTCTTTCCCCTTTGTCACTATTATTTTGTGGCGTCTTCTAAGAGTTTCTGTCCTTCCCTCGGCCTGCCTATATCCTCTTAAACCTAAAGCAAGTACATGAGGCCTTTGAAGTTTTGTAACATCCTCACTTTGGCCAAAGCAGAGCACTCCTGGGTAAAAGGCCCCTTCTTGGCTCCCCAGTTCTCCTCTTTTATCTCTTAGCCCTGGTAGGAAAGGACCACGTGTTGTTCAGGTACAATGGTGCATTATATATATGGTGCCTTGCACATATCAGGCATAGTTGAATTGAAGATAATTCTGCATTTCTTTTTTTTTTTTTTTTTTTTAAGATTTTATTTATTTATTTTTACCCCCCAAAGCCCCAGTAGATAGTTGTATGTCATAGTTGCCCATCCTTCTAGTTGCTGTATGTGGGACGTGGCCTCAGCATGGCTTGACAAGCGGTGTGTCGGTGCGTGCCTGGGATCCGAACCTGGGCCGCCAGCAGTGGAGCCCGAGCACTTAACCGCTAAGCCACGGGGCCAGCCCTGCATTTCTTAAAATAACGATGACGTACCTCTTTTCACCTGTCAGATTTACTTTTAAGATGAGACTACCTAGTGCTAACATGGTTGTAGAGAAAAGCTTATTTCATCCCCCTGATAGCTATTGTGCAGAATTAGTACTAGGAAACTCTGTGAGGCCGGCCCCGTGGCTTAGCGGTTAAGCGCGCGCGCTCTGCTGCTGGCGGCCCGGGTTTGGATCCTGGGTGCACCCAGGCACCGACGCACCACTTCTCCGGCCATGCTGAGGCCATGACCCACATACAGCAACTAGAAGGATGTGCAGCTGTGACATACAACTATCTAATGGGGCTTTGGGGGAAAAAAGTAAATAAATAAAATCATAAAAAAAAAAAGAAAAAGAAACTCTGTGAGAATGTAAATTGATAAAGCCTTTCTGCAAGGCAGTTTGGCAGTCCACACCTAAAAGCCTTAAAAATGTTTATATCCTATATATCAGTCAAGGTCCAGTCAGGAAAACAGAAACATACCAGTTATATTAGTAGGGAGAATTTAATATAAGGAACTTGTCAAATAGGTATTGGGAGACAGAAAATGCAAGTAGGAATCTTGGGTAACACAGATTATAGGTGCAGGAAACAGCCATCATCTGTCCCTGGGACTGGGGATCCAAGGGAAGAGGCTGGGGTTATTGGAATCTAGCAGCTCAAATGAGGACTTGGACAGAATTGGGACCCAGGCCTCTAGAGAAGGACACTGGCCGGCTGGTGCTGGTGTCTCTGAGGTCATGCAGGGTTGCAAGGTTGCTCGTCCTGTGAGTGTGGAAGCAGGCTGGAAACTGGAACCAACTGCTGCTGCTGGGATGGACAATCATTGCTGACAGGAACACAAGCCAACCAGAGATCCAAGTCCCTTCTCCCTCAGTTTTCCAGTTCTCCTGCAGCGCACCCTGTTGACAAACCTAACAGGGCTTGTGGGCAAAGAGAGTCCTAGCCGCGGCATCACAAAGCCAAGTATAAAGAAGGGTAGATTTGGGGCTAAGAGACAGCAGCTAAATGACTAGCACACCCTCTTACATCTAAACTTAATTTCTAGTAATCTATTGTATGGGAATAATTATAAATGTATGTAAACATTTATAACAATATTCACTGCAGCGTTGTTTATGATGAGTGTAGCGAAAATATTTAAAACAATTTAAATTTCTGCCAGTTGTGGCTAAATTAAGTAAATTATAGTTTATCCATACAGTGGATCTATACGAGCCATGAAAAATAATGTGGCTTACATTACGTGGTTAACTAATAAAAAGTAAAAAAAAAATGCCAAGTAATGAAACAATATCTAAAGTATGACCACATTTTGGTACAAATATATATGATAGAAAAAGGTATAGAAGAATATATACTAAAGTATTAACAGTGAGTTTGTTATTTTTGAGCGGTAGAATTGTGAATAGTTTAATTTCTTTTTTTAAGAATTATCTGAACCTCTTAATTATTCTTCAGTAAACATGTATTGTTAGTATTAAAAACAAAAAATGTTTAGTTAAATGCATTTTGTACTCAGTTAGTGCCCTGGGCCTGTCACTGTGGCTCCAGGATAAAGGACAGGGGTATGTGTAGGCATGTGGAATAGGGCTGGGCCTGGTGGAGCCCTATGGGTAAGCAGGGGCTGGGTGTGGGTGGTGTCCTCCATTTCCCCTTTGCCGCCAAGCAGTGTGCCCTCTGGCCCTGGACCACCTCTGTAGTCATGGATAGATGATACCCATGCTGATAATAGCCACGACTTATTGAGTACTTACTAATCCTTTCACTTAATCCCAGCAGGAGTCCTCAAGATGGGTGCTATAAATATCTCCATTTTACAAATGAGGAAACTGAAGCTTAGAAAGGTCAAGAAGCTTGCTGAAGGTCAGCAGCTAGCGAGGGGCAGTAACCTCAGCAGTTGGACATCAGCACAGGTGCTCCTGACGGCTGAGCTGTTCCTCCTCTGGTTACCTGGGCCCGAGGGAGCCCACAGCGGGGCATCACAGACACTCCCCACATGTCCATCAAGTCCATGTTCAGTCTCGCTGCTTTAGGTCCTGACTCCTGAACATGTCTGACTCTCAGACATGAATTAGAGATGGATATGGAACCAAGCGCCTCTTTCACACCCCCAGAGAGTATTCTAGCTTAGAAAATTCTAAGATCAAATTTTTGTTTCAAACATAAAATTAAGTTTCGAAATAAGAGTATTTTATTTGTATCACAGCAGTCAGTTCCTTAAGGACCAGCTCTCAAAACCTGGCTACTCAGAACCTCAGAAAACACATAACCAAGACTTATTTCAAGACTATCCTCTTCCCCAAGCTGATCTGAATCAGCAAAGCCAGCGTTAGCCAAAGCAGATTCAATCACTAATTAAACAAATATTTATGAAGTTCCTACTGTGTGTCGGCGCTGGTTTTGCTGCTGGGGCCTAGCGGTGAAGATGCCAAAATCCAAGCCCTCGTGAGTCAGGCATTCTAGTTGAGAGACAGACACCAAACCAATAAGTAAGATACTTTCAGATAGTGAGTGTGGGACGAGGGCATGGTGCTACTTTAAGACGCGTAGACAGGGAAAATCTCTGAGGAGGTGACTTTGGAGTAACATTGAAAATGAGACAAAAGAGTGAACCATAAGAAGATCTCAGCCACAGCATGGTAGGAAGAGGGCAGCAAGTATAAAGGCCCCGAGGCCCATGGCAGCTTAACGAATCAAGCAAGAAGGCAGCAAGAAGACCTGCAAGGTGGGAGCACAGTGAGTGAGGCGGATAGTGAGGTCAGCAGAGGTCTAGTTCATTTCAGGCATCTTAGAGCTTTGTTGTTAGTACTGTTGAGTCAATTCTGACTCCTAGTGACTCTGTGTCCAGCAGAGCAGAACCCTGCCCAGTCTTTTTGCGCCATCCTCTCATCTTCTGGCACTATATCAGACAGTGCTCTGCTGCTATTCACAGGGTTTTCATGGCCAATTTTTTGGAAGTGGGTGGCCAGGTCCTTCTTCCTAGTCTTAGTCTGGAAGCTCTGCGGAAATCTGTCCACCATGGATGATCCTGCTGGTATTTGAAATACTAGTGACATAGCTTTCAGCATCACAGCAACATGCAGCTGCAACAGTATGACAACCAACAAACGGTGGTGTGGTTCCCTGACCTGAAAACGAACCCAGGCCATGGCAGAGAGAATGCCAAATCTTAAACCACTAGACTACCAGGGCTAGCTCTCCTTTAGAACTAGGACTTAGGAATTAGAACTTGGGCTGATGCAGTTTTGAGGGAACCTTATGAGTGAATTAAAAAAAACATTGGGTGAGCTGTATCTTGATGAGTAATAAGTTAACGATAATTACTTAGCCTCTTCCATGTTCAGGATACAGTATAGGTATTATGGGCAATTTCAAGGATGTAAGAGGCTTTGTGTCAGCCCCTCGGGATCTTTCTCTTGTAGTCTGCTAAATCGGCTCTCCACACTTTAGTTCACACTTTTATACAATTAATAAAATGACGCTTAGTTCATCTTAAAGAAAGGTCGACCTAAGTGCTTTCAGATCTTTGTATGATAGGTGCTAATTGTCTTATTCCTTTTATTTTTAAATAACTATTTTCTTTCATAGTCACAAAAAAATGTGTTCATTGGGAAATATTGAAAATACCAAGAAGAAAATAAAAATCATTGATAATCTCTGCATTTGAGAGAGAATCTATTAACATTTGGCTCTGTATCTTTCCCGTCAATTTATGTATTATACATATATGTGTGCATGTGCATGTGTGTGTATATATATATATTTTTTTTTTCAATATGATTGGGCCCAAACTATATATTTTGTTTGGTAACCTGTGGTTTTTACTTAATATATCACAAATATTTTTTTAATACTTTAGTGAGTATCCTTGGAGATCAGTCTTTGAACATGCCTGTATTTGGGGGTTTTGGGGGTGTTTTTTTAGTCACTCAAAAAGAGATTCTGGCTCTTTTTTCCCCCCAAAGTATAATTGACATACAACATTATATTAGTTTCAGGTATATAATGTAATGATTTGATATTTGTATATATTGTGAAATGATCACCGCAATAAATCTAGTTGTTTTTTTCTTGTGATGAAAACTTTCAAGATCTACTCTCTTAGCAACTTTCAAATATGCAATACAGTATCATTAACTGTAGTCACCATGCTGTACATTATATCCCCAGGACTTATTTATTTTATAACTGGAAGTTTGTACTTTTTGACCCTCTCACCCATTTCACTCACCTCCCCAGCCGGTCCTCTGACAACCACCAGTCTGTTCTCTGTATCTGTGAGCATGGTGGTCTTTTGGTTGGTTGGTTGCTTGGTTAGTTGGTAGGTAGGGTTTTGTTTTGTTTTGTTTTTAGATTCCACATATAAGTGAGATCATACAGTATTTGTCTTTTTCTGTCTGACTTATTTCACTTAGTGTAATGCCCTCAGGGTTCATCTGTGTTGTTGCAAATGGCAAGATGTCATTCTTCTTTACGGCTGAATAATATTCTATTGTGTATATATATACATTTTCTTTATCCATTCATTTGTATGTATTTTCTTGAATACAATTGGTGGGTCAGAGATGGGCATATTGATGGCTTGTGATACATTTTGTCAAATTGCCTTAAAGAGATTGCATCACCATTCCTTCCCACCTGCATTTATAGTGTACTTGTTTCCCCAGATCCTCACCTACACTTAGGATTGTCTTTTTTTCTAATGTCTGCCAATTTGGTAGGTGAAAAACAGCATTTTATTTTACTTTTTTATCTTTTTCTTAAGCCTGTTGTCTTTACCTGACAGTTTTTCCTCTCTTTAAAATTTGTCATGAATTCAGGAATTTCTCATGCTTAAGCTATTTGTCTTTTGGATAACTAAGTTTAATCTTTATTCCATTTTAATAGGTACGTGGATGTTGGTAATTGGTAAATGAGTGATGAGTACATGGGGACTTAATTTGCTTTTCTCTGCTGTGGTACATGTTTGAAAATGTCCCTAATACAAAAATATTTAATTTAATAGGCACATGGCCTTTAATAAAATTTAACCCAATTTTTTTTCTACTGAGTAATGTTCATCTAAAGTACTGTGGAATTTCTGTAAATGAATAACTTAAAATTTGGGGAGGTATGGTAATTCAGCTTCTAGTCATTGGTGACTTGATGCTGCCCCAAAGATGCCAAGTGATTTCCCAGCCCAAATCATTTTGGTTGTGTCATTGCCAGACCTTCATTGTGAAACTTTTGTCTTCAGAACCACCTCACAATTTGTCTCCCGCCTTACATGTGAGATTATAGGCGAAGTTTTATCTCAACTCTGAATTTGCAGATTTGTATTCACTCAGTAACATTGTAGCAGCAATAACTGCTTTTAGAAAGGTAAGAAAGTATATATATCCTTCAGTCTCTTTGTCTTTCTTCTGTAGATGTTGAGCATACTGGAGCCACCAGCGAGTTCTATGACAAGTTCACCATTCGCTATCACATTAGCACAATTTTTAAAAGCCTTTGGCAAAACATAGCTCACCACGGCACCTTTATGGAGGAGTTCAAGTGAGTATTGGGCCCGTGATGTCACAGTGTGCTCTCTCGCAAATCACAGGTAGAGGAGCTGCTTAAAAGCTTTCACAGCAGGTTCTTGTTGGCTGTTTGCTTGGTCTCAGCCTCCTTCAAGTTTTCCGGATGGTACTGCTAAATGTGAGAAGGGTTATCTAAATGTCTATGCTTGCAAGATATTGCAGAACTTTAAATTTGTCAAGATTCTTTGGGGATGGTATATATAAAGAAAGAATCTATAAATATTCTGAGGTGATGTGTTGTGTTTTTTGGTGTTCCTATGATTATAGTGTTAAATAAAGTTGTCAGAATGACTGAAATGAGATAGTGTTCTTGAATATGATATCAAGCTTTAGAGTTAGAAATAGTAGGACTTCAGATTTAGAAGCAATTAAGTTGGGGTTGTCATTTGCAGTGTCTTTCCCTTAATTAAGGATTTTTCATTACCTACCTGAAATTTCAGCAACTACTTAAACCTGGACATTAGTAATTCCATTTAAATTACTTAAGAAAAGTGCTTTAAAAAGGAAGATAGATGAAAATGGTGAACTCTTGAATTATTCTTCAGAAGAAATTTTATCCCATCTACTTGAATCTTTTGCAACCTTTGCTCAAGTCTAGCTGTCACTTGTTAACTGAGTTACTAGTCAATAATATACATATTACCAGTGGCGTAACCACTTGCTAGGTAGCTTTCTGCAAAGTAAACTCTTTAAGTTAATTGTTTCCATGAACTGCTCTTATAGTCAGAATTATGTTCCAACAAAAGCCTGGCACAAACTTAGGAAACCAGGCAGGCCCATGGCTTGATCTGCGTGGTGCTGATTGGGAGTGTTCATCCTGAATTTTCCATGTTCCCGAAATCCAGGCCTCCCACTCTCGTTCACAAGAACTTCTCTTCCCTGGGCATGGGCTTACCACCCGCTGATTACACAGTGGTAGATCCTGAAGTGTAGCTCCTCTTTTCTCTACTAATTTGTCAGTTACAGAGTCTAACAGAGATAGGCCAAGCCATCTCAGTTCACCAGCAAGTCCCTCCATTTAATATGACATGCAGGGGGCCGGCCCGGTGATACATGTGGTTAAGTGCGCGCACTCCGCTGTGGCGGCCCGGGGTTCGCCGGTTCGGATCCCAGGCGCGCACCGACGCACCGCTTGTTAAGCCATGCTATGGCGGTGTCCCATATAAAGTAGAGGAAGATGGGCACGGATGTTAGCCCAGGGCCAGTCTTCCTCAGCAAAAAAGAGGAGGATTGGCATCGGATGTTAGCTCAGGGCTGGTCTTCCTCACCAAAAAAATATATATATACATATATGATATGCAGGATAGTTCCATAGATCAGAAGCTTCAAGTTTTATAAAGTAAGTTAATATCCTACTTTATCAGTATTACAACTTCCAATTTTTCTTTGATGTGTCTTTCTTTATAATGAGGAATAACCGTATCACTAGTTCTCTTGTCTCTTATATATGGGTAATTATTTGTGCTTTCTTTGTCTCTTGGTGAATTTAAGCGTGTTTTCTAGTCTGGAGGAATGTTTTCTTTACGTAAAATCATTGAGAGAATGAGCCAGGGGCATGCTGGTAACCCTACTCTCTGGAGAAAAAAAAATCAGCATTTGCTGGTTTTCTGGGGTGTAAATACTTCCACTGTTGCCAAATTTAAGCTGCCAAGGGAATCTGCTTACAAAATTCCAGAATATTAGCAGTTGGCTCTCATGAGCCATGCAAGGTGGCTTCAGCACTCTATTGGAATGAGCTTACCAAAATTAATTTAAAAGAATAACAGAATATAAGGAGAGACTTGGTAGTCCTTGCCCTCAGCTCTGCGGTACCTGAATTGTGCTAAGGTGTAGACAGTCTTGTAGGGGAGGTGGTTGGCCTGTGGAGTAGAGGCCCGTTTGCTCTGGAATCTGCTGCAGCGTTTTGCTTCAGGCAGGTGTATGACCATGTACCATGTAATTGCCTTTTCAGTTCTGGGAAGCAGTTTGTTCGCTATATAAACATGCTGATAAATGACACGACGTTTTTGCTCGATGAAAGTCTGGAGTCTCTGAAGCGGATCCACGAAGTGCAAGAAGAGATGAAGAACAAAGAGCAGTGGGACCAGCTGCCCCGGGTGAGGACAGAGTCCAGATGCTGCGACAGCGTTGCAGGGAAGTTGCCTTTGGACCTGGGCAGAGCTCTGCTGCAGCGGCTGCATTTGTGGATCTGATGACTTAGATCTGAATAACTTGTCAGTACAGTCATGTGCCGCAAAAGGATTTTTCGGTCAACGAGGGACCACATATATGATGGTGGTCCCATAAGATTAGTGGCACATAGGGCCGGCTCGGTGGCATAGTGGTTAAGTTTGCGCACTCCACTTCAGCAGCCTAGGGTTCTCAGGTTCGAATTCCAGGCACGGACCGACATACCGCTTATCAAGCCATGCCATGGCAGTGTCCCACATACCAAAAAAATAGAGGAAAATGGGCGCAGGTGTTAGCTCAGGGCCAATCTTGCTCAGCAAAAAAAAAAAGATTAGTACCACATAGCCCGGGTGTATAGTAGGCTATACCATCTAAGTTTGTGTAGGTACACTCTATGATGTTTGCACAGTGACGAAATTGCCTAACAGTGCATTTCTCAGAACATATCCCAGTCGTTAAGCAACGCATGACTGTACTTGCTACCTCCCACCTGTGTGCTTCCATGAAGCCATATCCCAGGTTTGGGGTAGGAGAAAACTTAAACACTTGACCTAAAGCTAAGAAATGAGTTGAGAAGTCTTTCAAAATGTGTCCAGAAAACATTCTCTGCCCTTTTAATTTTAAAGGGCTTTTTTGGAGAAGAGCTTTTATTGTTTGAATATGTTGACTAAGATTTAGGAAAGCAATTAGGAAATAAGTCTCTAGAGTTCTGTCTGCTAGACAAGTGATTTGTTCATATGATCTTCTTTAGACAACCATGTAAATAACTAAGGATTCTGATGGGGTTTTTTTCCTCTCCATTGATCTTTGTTTTTATATTTAGTTATTAATGGAAAAGAGGCTTATTTTGCCAGATTCTGTGAAAATTCATGCTGTGCCAGTGGACAGCACACTACCCTCTCCTGACATTTACTGCAGCCAGTTAGATGGTTCCCTGGTCATTACTAGGCCCTGGACAGCTACTGGTGACTTCATGTTTTGGTTAGTTAGTTCTGTTCCTGGTGTTGTTAGTCTCAGAATCAGAACTGCTTTCTAGAAGGAGTTCTCATGTACAGGTGGGGAAGACTACTTTTTCTTTACTTGCAGTAGCATTCTTGAAATGAAAATATTGCTGGGATTCTAATGCTGTGGAGTCAAAAAGTATCTTAAAAGTAAGGTATTGAGGGCCGGCCCCGTGGCTTAGTGGGTAAGTGCGTGCACTCCGCTACTGGTGGCCCGGGGTTCGGATCCCGGGCGCACACCAACGCACCGCTTCTCCGGCCATGCTGAGGCCGCGTCCCACATACAGCAACTAGAAGGATGTGCAACTATGACATACAACTATCTACTAGAGCTTTGGGGGGGAAAAAAAAAAGAGGAGGATCAGCAATAGATGTTAGCTCAGAGCCGGTCTTCCTCAGTAAAAAGAGGAGGATTAGCATGGATGTTAGCTCAGGGCTGATCTTCCTCACAGGAAAAAAAAAGTAAGGTATTGAAACACATTTAGGGAAGGTTTTCCTTTCAATTATTCCTGCAGCTTTGATGAGAATTTTACATCTTACTCTAGCCAACATGCTTAAACTACAGACTTAAACTTTTCAAGGGGCTTCCGTGAATGCTGGATTTCTTTTGTGTCCATGCCACCATGCTCCTTGAGCCCCTTTAATTGTGTTCTTGAGATAATGCAGTGATCATCTTCTTTTTCCTTGGCACTGTACTGGCACTGTCGAGAGTCCGTCCTACCCACTACCTTCATATTTATTTCTAAACACACCTTAAACTGTTTTGCTACTGTGCCTCCCAAACCTGCCTCCCGCAGCTCTCCATTTCCCTCAGGATGGAGTCACTCTCTGCGTGATGCTCCAAGCTTACCTTCCATTGCAATCAGCCGACTCCTATCTGGACCAGTCCCCACGCCCTCACAGAACGTGCTGGGGAAACAGTTGAAAGAGCCCCAGCTTTGGAGTCCAGGCCACCTGGGTTTGAGAAGTGGCACTGCCACACATTAAAAGTTCCTTAATTTCTGTTTCCTCACCCATAAGTCAAAGATAATTCCTGCCTTGCAGGAAAGTGATGAAGAGAGACGGTAGATGGCAAGTACATAGTTCAGGACCAGCCCAGAGAAGGTGCTCAGGATGTGTAGCTCCTTTTGTTTCATTTGCCTTGAGACACTCCTTCTGTCCAAAATGCTCTACTTTCCATTCTTATGTGTTAAAATCCTACCCATTCTTTGAGTAAGGTCTTGTCTAAGTACTCCTTCATGGTTGGCCTTCCTCAGTCAGTGTAGCTGCAATCTTACCTTTCTCTATGCTTCTGAATCCCCACTTTATGTCACTCATGATGCTTATCTTGGACCAGCTTATATTGTAGATGTTGGGATATGGGTCTGTAGCACATTATCAGAGTCAGTGCTTAATAGCATTTGTTTACGAGATGACCGAACAGATACTATTGATTTTTCTGTGTTAATGGATGGGAAAAGGGCATAAATAATCCCTAACAAGTGCTGTTTCTATTTGACTTTGAGGTCCCTTCCTCCCTCCCCCACCCCCCACCTGCTCCTCCTCATCTCCCTACCCTCTAACCATTGGAGGACTCCGACGCTCAGCCCTCAGGCTGTTCCTCTCCTCTTTCTACACTTGCTCTCCAGGTCAGTCACTTAGTGAGGTACTAGTTGGTATTTTGAGTGTAGTGGAATTTTGCTATAATAATAATAATTTATTATGAGAGTCCCATACATTGCAGGGCATTTAGCATCTCTTGTTCATGCCCATTTAATGGCAGTGATGTACCCTCCTACCCCAAGTCATCATGCAACCAGAAACACTCCCACATGTGGCCTGATGCCCCCAGTTGAAAATCACTGCTAGGTGTTCTCATCTATTCCAAGGCTTTAAGCATCTGTATTCTAGAGGCTGGCCTGGTGGCATAGTGGTTAAGTTCACATGCTCCTCTTCAGCGGCCCGGTGTTCGCAGGTTCGGATCCTGGGCTCAGACCTACGCACCACTCATCAAGCCATACTATGGCAGGCATCCTACATATAAAGTAGAGGAAGATGGGCACAAATGTTAGCCCAGGGCCATCTTCCTCAGCAAAAAGAGGAGGATTGGCAACAAATGTTAGCTGAGGGCTAGTCTTTCTCACCAAAAAAATGTAAAAAATGAAAATAATAATAATAGCAAATATGTGTATGCTAAAGACTCCAGAATGTGCCTCTCCAACTCAGATCTGTCCTGATTCTAGACCTGCAAAACCAGCTGTTGACCTGTCTCTCTGCCTTGTGGTCTAATAAGTATCTCAAACTTAACTTGTCCAAAACTGAACCTTTGATGTTGTCTCCAGATCTCCTCTCCGAGTCTGCCCAATCTCAGTAAATGACAACTGCGTTCTACTAATTGCTCTGGCTCAACACCTTGGAGTCTTTCTTGATTCTGCTCTCTCTCTCTCTCTCTGCAAATGCCTCTAGGCTCTATCTTAAAAAATATCCATTACCTGACCTGTTCCCCCACCTCCAGGCTACTGTCATCTCCTACCTGGGGAGATTCTTGTAGTAGTAGCTCCCTATTTGGTCTCTCAGCCTCCACCCTTGCCCATGTCCATACCAGAGGGATGCTGCTAAAATCTCAGTCTGCTCGTTATCCCCGCTCTGCTCAGAACCCTTCCAGGCTTCCCTTCTGGCTCAGAGAGAAATCCCAAGTTAGAGAGTGGCCTAGAGGGTGCTGCAGTGTTGGCCCTGCCTTTCCCCTCACTCGCTCCACCCCAACCACGCTACCTCCCTGCTCTTCCGCTGACAAGCAGGGGGCTTTGCACTTGCTGTTCCCTCTTCCTGGAGTGCTCTTCCCTCAGATTTTGACTGACTCACTTCCTTCAGATATCCATTTAAATGTCACCTCCTCAGAGAGGCCTTCCCTGACCACCCTTTCCAGAAGAGCGTCCCCTGACCCCAACACACTCTTTCTTTCCCCTTACCCTGCTTTGTCTTCAGCACTGTCAGACTTACTGTGTATCTGCTTGGGTGTTTATCTTTTTATTGCTCATCTCCCTAGCTGGAATCGAAGCTCCATGAGGGCAGGGAGCCCTATTGGTCATGTTCTGTACTCCATCTCCAGTGCCTAAAGGAGGGGCTGCTCTGTACGAGGGGCTGGATAATGTTTAGCAATGAATGAATGAGACACCCAGACACAGATTTAGGTAGTTCCCACCTTGCTGTTCTTACGTGTTTCTTGGTTCAGCCTTCCATTCAGTAGGCTCATTCTTGACCAAGGGGCCATGGACAGGTCACCCAGCATTGTTGCAGGATCTCCACCGAGCGCTTACTCAGAGGGCACTTACTCAGGGGGCACTTGTTTGGCAACTTCAGCTGTTCTAGCTGTTTCCCCTCCCCCAACGTAAAGTAAAGTGGCCTCTGAGCAGACCTAAGAATTTAAGTCTTTACTGATGTTTCTGTATTTTATCCACCTCAGAGCCTTCAGTGTTCCACCTTATTTTACCCGTGAGTCAAATACACCTTATTTCCTTGTTTCCTAGCCTATGGGAGAATTGAAGGAGGAGGATGGTGCCAGAGGCAGGCATGCTGACAGTTGTAAGGGATGACAGCCTAACAGTGTGGAAAGACAAAATTCAGAAGCTTAGCAATCTACAGGCACTTGGTGTAGGAGCAAAACATATAGACCTAGTATCGTAGCATAACACATCACATGTTTTTAAAATAATGACGACTAAGTAAAAGTTATTAAGGAAAGTGAACCTTCCTTTATTAGCACCAGTGTATATTAAGCATGACATAAGATTCACTTATTTCATCCTGCGTGGACGTAATGGTGACTTCTTTTATCATTGAGGAAACTGAGTCTCACATGAGTTAAATGTGCCAAGGTCACCTTACTCAAAGTCCTAAAGAATTCTGATGCTGAGAGGAATAAACTTCAGTTGTCCAGAAAGTTCGCTGGTATGGGTAGTTATATCATTCCCTAAGAATGTTGGCTTTATTATGCACTTCTCCAGTTATGAGCTGACTGTATTTTTCCCCTACACTTGGCGTTTTGGTGAGCTGCTGACTAGTGCTGAGATGTGTTTGGCATCTGTTCAATGTCTCCTAGGATCAGCAGCAGGCCCGTCAGTCTCAGCTTGCTCAGGACGAGCGTGTTTCGCGCTCCTATCTTGCCCTGGCAACAGAAACCGTGGACATGTTCCATATCCTCACGAAGCAGGTCCAGAAGCCGTTCCTCAGACCAGTGAGTAGAACTCGGGGTATTTACTTTGTCTGTTGGATTCCACATTCAGATTCTATCACTTAGAACTAAACATAGTTGTAGAAATCCTGGACGTTCCAGGGTCACAGTCACTGGTAAGTGAAATTCTGTTACCGATTCTGTTCCCAGTTATGCTAATTGATACACACAGCACTCTGTTGATAGACTAAAGCAAGCAGTCACTTCCAAGATAACTTAATTCACTTTCTGCTTAGACAGCACATTGGATTATTAATGTTGAAGCTATGACGTATTTTTATCATTATTGATTCCTTTATTTTATTGATAGGGAAAGTATGAGGTAACGTTAAGTTGGAAATTAGAGTATATTAAGTAGAAATAATTGGTAATGTATAAGATCTTTGGTTCTCTTAGGTATAGCTTTGTTACACTCAAGAAGCCAAAGGTTAATGAGAGCAATAATTCAAGTTTATGATAGATCAAAGGTAGTCAAAACGTTTGGCCTTGACGTGATTAATAAGACCTGGGTCCTGTTTCAGAAACTGAAACTGAGCGACATGACTGAAGATCTCTGCTTTGCTTCATCCCCCTCCCCCCACACACACACATACAGTTTAGAAGCTTTGTGGTGTGGCTAGGACAAGGGAGTGAAGAGGGCCAGAAAGGAGCCTGAGGTTCAGTAGTTAATTGCCTATATGGAGACAGGTTTACAATGAAATATAATTTTACTACGTTTCCTTCAATTTCCATATTCACTCTTCCCTCCGACATTATCACCCCACCCTGGCCTGTGTGCAGCTCAAGAGATGAGTCTCCTCTCCTCTCCCCTTCCATTCCACATCTCTTCATAAATAGATTTCAGCGCAAGAGCAGTGGAACGTGAAACAAAACAGAGCTCACCACTGAAAACGTAAGACACTGCAACTAATTTCAACAAGATATTTCAGACACTTGCTCCCCTTAAAGATTTGCAAATGGAATTTCCTTGAACTTTTTCTATAAAGGCCAGCCAGTAAATAGTTTAGGCGTTGTGGGCCACACGGTCTTTGTCACAGCCACTCAACTTTGCTGTTGCAGCACGAAAGCAGTCACAGATGACACGTAAACAAACAAGTGTGGCTTGTTTGTCAATACAACTTGATAAAAACGGGCCTTGGGCCAGATTTGGCCTGCAGCTAGCGGTTCCCCAGTCCCTGCTCGGAACCACGTTTTATTTTATGTTCAGTGACTCCAGTGGCAGTGCTGTTTGATTGTTAGAAGGTAGGAAACTATAAAAATTATTCGAGACTAAATTATCATAAAGCCTATTTTTAGTTCTAAATTCTTCAATTTTTAAAGGAAATTCTTGAAAGCTAAGTCTAATATTTTCCTGTCCATTAAAATTCATTTTTTTCAAGGCCTAGTCATCAATCTGTCTATACCCCTGGCCGTAGTGTTCTGCCCTCAGTCTTTGCAGGCCTGCTTCAATGTTTCCTTTTCGTCTGCTACGCTGGTTCACTGGCTAGCTCAAAATCTCCCACTTCAAAAAGAAAAAAACACCAACTCTGTACTATTCTTGTTACTCCTTTATTTCACCATTTTTAAATTAAATACAAGAGTACTTTGCTTTGTGCAAAAGCAGGTTCTTGAAAAGCTGAGCTTAAGTTGAATTTGTATAAATGCAATCACTAAATTCAGTGAGAACCTTGCTACTTAAGACAGCTTCCCTTCTTCTTTTCTGTGGCCAGTGTTTACTCTCATACTCTCTGCTCTAAGCCAGGCTTTCCCAGTTCAGAGTTGCTTAAAGCAGTATATGCCCAGCTGTACTAGGTGCTGAGTCGTCTTGTGGGGTTATTACATATTATTTTGTAATTATTTTCTAGTTCTTTCATTTAAGTTTGCCTTGTCTTACTACCTAGATTTAAAACTAATCAAGACATAAATTTTACCTTCTTTTGCATTTCTCCCCTCTTTGCGTCTGATAACTAAATAAGAATGGTGCACTGTCTGAACTGTCGGGGACTTTTGAAATTTATAGAAAAATAATGTGTAAAATGATGGCTGAAAGAACATACTCAAAAACTATTGTGACTTGTGTTATGATGTTGGAATTAAGAATAATTTCCCCTCTTTTACCTGTTTCTCAGCGACTTTGGAATGATCCTTGTTTTTATAATTAAAAGCATGAATTTAAAGAAAATCTTGCCTTTTGTTGGTATTTATAAATATTCCATCAACCTGCAACATTCTATTAAGTATTAGAATTATTGGATTAGAAATGGTGAGTAAAGAAAATTTTGAATATAATATCCTTCTTCAGCTTATGATACACAGCACGTATAAGGGATTCTTTGAACATTAATCCTGCCAATTCCTGTTCCTCCACTGAAATGGGAGTTTTTGATCCTTCTCGCTTGTCTCAACAGCGTGAATTGTCCTTTATCCTGTCATTTCCTAGGAACTTGGACCCCGATTGGCTGCAATGCTGAACTTTAATCTTCAGCAACTCTGTGGTCCCAAGTGCCGTGATCTGAAAGTGGAAAACCCTGAGAAATACGGCTTTGAACCAAAGAAGCTGTTGGACCAACTGACGGATATTTACTTGCAGCTGGATTGTGCCCGGTTTGCTAAAGCCATTGCTGACGACCAGGTCAGTGCCTAAGAGAGCAGGCCGTTTCAGAGGGAGTCTGGGGTTCAGGCTGCTGAACTGGGCAACTTGAGTTTACTTCTCTGTGGGTTTCCTGGCAGACCCTATGCAATTACATATCCATCTGTCCCTGGATTTTCCCCACTTGAAATCAAGGAAGGTGATACTTTTCAAAATGTGGTTTGAGAAGTTTTTAATATGAAAATGGAAATAGTGACCACAGTGGCGAGAGGAACTTGTCTGGTGTAAATGGAGATGAGTTGGTTGTTTTCTTTTGGGCATAAAGAGATTTGGCTCCCAGATCTGTCTCCAGTTGAGTTCTTAACCCATCTCGCTAAGGGCCTTATTTAACAAACCCATTACATTCGCAGGTTTTCTCAGGAAATCCAAATCTTCTTCCCAAGTCTTCTGCTTTAGTGCTGTGGGGTTTTTTGGGGTTTTTTTGTTTTGTTTTTTTTGGTGAAGAAGATTAACCCTGAGCTAACATCTGTTGCCAGTCCTCCTCTTTTTGCTGGGGAAGATTGGCCCTGGGCTAACATCCATGCCCATCTTCCTCTACTTTATATGTTGGACGCCGCCACAGCATGGCCTGATAAGTGTAGGTCCGCACCTGGGATCCAAACCTGCGAACCTCCGGCCGCCAAAGCAGAGCACACGAACTTAACCACTACGCCACTGGGCCAGCCCCAGTGCTGTGGTTATTTTTGTGGCTTCAGGTTTCAAACCTTGTGTGGTTATCTTGACATTTTCCCTCGCCTTTATTGTTTGTGTCCCTCATGATCATATCTGTTATGTATTTTTCATTCCTACAGCTACCGATTTAGTCCAAAGCTGCCCCTGCCCAGCCCTACTTTTTGACTTTCCAGGAATCTCATAAAGGCCTTCCCCTCCCTCCGTGTTTCTCTGTGCTGCATCATTTCAGCATAATAATAGCTAATGTTTATTAACTGCATACCAAGTTTTAACCACTTTTCATGTTTTCACTCATGTAATCCTCACAAAATCCTATAGTATAGGTTCGATTAGATTCCTCCCTTTAGAACAAGGCACAAAGATTTTAAATAGCTTGCACAGTGTTAGTGTGGGGTAGAGGCAGGATTCATACCCAGCAGTCTAGCCCCGAGCCCGTATTCTCAACCTCTCTGCTCTCCACTTAAAACGGCCAAAAAGTTCCATGCTCGTTTCTTTTTTTTTTTTTTTTTAAAATTTTTTTTATTCTTTTTTTTCCCCCCAAAGCCCCAGTAGATAGTTGTATGTCATAGGTTCACATCCTTCTAGTTGCTGTACATGGGACTCGGCCTCGCGTTGGACGGAGAAGTGGTGCCTCGGGGCGCTCCCGGGATCCGAACCCGGGCCGCCAGCATCAGAGCGCACGCACTTAACCGCTAAGCCACGGAGCCGGCCCATCCATGCTCGTTTCTGTCTCTCCATCTTTGTTCATTCTTTCTATCCAAATATTATTCACATCTCAGGTTAACCATCAGTAGGCATTCTAGAAGGTTCTTTACCCATATCTCATCCAAAGGTGAAAAGAGGGGAATTATAGCTACTTTTTTTTAATAACAGCTTTATTGAGGTATAATTCACGTATGTAGGTTCTTTGGGATGTAAGCAAGAGATGTGGTCTTGACAAAGTGCCTGCAATGGATAAAACCACATATGTCTATAAAAAGTAGTGGTAAAGGAGGAGGTTAGGAGTTTGCAGTTATTCTGGGGAGATGCTAAAATGTTTTTCTAGCCTACAACTGTATAATACTGTACAATATAGAATGGAGGATAAGTGGTAGTGTGTAGAGAGGGAAAGGAAGTGGAAATGCTCGCCAGTTGAGGTCCAGTCATCTGCCTTGGGTAGAGGCGGACTGCAGCTGGGCCTCTCTAGCCCGGCCAGAGGTCGGTGGGTGGAAGGTCCCCAGAGAGTCTTCCATTTTTACTGTAAGAGACTACTTGGAAGAGTCGTTTCGAGTGCTTCCTCTTCTGAGAGGTCTTGCTGTGGCTGCCATATTGCAAGTGGTTAGCATAACACCAAGTTTGCAGGGTGGATGAACACAGCACGCCCAGTGAGGCGGTGAAAACCAAGTGGGTGACAAAGGAGTGCTTCCAGCTGCCTTTCCTTGCTGACCAACAAAACATCCACACTTCCTGGCAATGCCTGTGGATTGTGGTGGTGGCCTGTGGCGGCACCGAGCTTGAGTCATAGGCGGCAGTTTCTGTACAGTGGGACACGGGTCATCTTCAATGTCTAACTAGCCCTGCTCTTCCAGACTCATGAGGCAAACACACACAAGTGCCAGTGACACAATGGAGAGAAAAACACATTTTAAGTGGATTTTTTGCTTCCTTTTACACTTGTCCTGTGTTTCCACTTCCTTGTCCTGATTATCGGGCATTTTTCGTTTTTGTTGGCTGTAAGCTGATTAGGGGCCTACCGAGTTGATTGTTTTGGAAGAGGGTTTTGGGGGCTGAGAGAGGAAGGGTGGAAGGCTAGGAAGGTTCAAAGGAGAGGTAGCAGAATTTTGTTTTCTCCTTTGAGGACAGTGGTCTTGGTTTGGTCTGGTATGTCTTGTTTTCCTGGGAAGACAAAGGAAAAAGAAAATGGCAGCTGTGCAAGGAAAGAAACTGAGAAACGTCTCTCTGTATATACCAAGAGTGGGCTGAAGACAAGTGTCTAGAAGAGGTGACAGAAGGCACCAGCACGGAAAGCCACTGAGCTTTACGCTCACAAACCTGAGGAGAGAGCCCCCCAGAGGAGGAGTGGAACAGAACAGTTGTCCCTGGAGCTGAGAGAGTCTGGGATAGAGAGATCTGAGGGTGACTCAGTGAGCTGCACTGATGGCCACATCTGACTGTGCTTTGTTGAGCAGACTCTAGTTCTCTGGAGGGACTGTAGATCTGGTGTTCATGGAGTGCTGTCTGTTAACACCATGTTCCATTAAAAAATAAATGATAAAGAGCCCATCTGAAGTCTCACTTGACATAAATTTAACCATTTTAAAGTATATCGTTCGGTGGCATTTAGTACATTCACAATATTGTGCAACCATCACCTCTGTTTAGTTCTAAAACATTTTATCACCTCCAAAAAGAAATTCTATATCCATTAAGCATTCACTGTCTAGTCTCCCCTCACCCCAGCCCCTGGCAATTTACTAATCTGCTTTCTGTTTTTATTTTACCTTTTTTATTTTTTTGGTGAGGAAGATTAGCCGTGAGCTAACATCTATTGTCAATCCTACTCTTTTTGCTGAGGAATATTGGCCCTGGGCTAACATCCATGCCCATCTTCCTCTACATTATACGTGGGACACCTGCCACAGCATGGCCTGATAAGCGGTGTGTAGATCTGTGCCTGGGATCTGAACCTGCAAACCCCGGGCCACCAAAGCGGAGCATGCAAACTTAACCACTACTCCACCAGGCCGGCCCCTGTTTTACCTATTTTTAGATCTATCTATTTGCCTATTCTGGACATTTCATATAAACAGAATCATACAACGTATAACCTTTTGTGACTGGCTTCTTTCATGTAGCATAATGTATTTGTGTGTGTATTCGAATGTTGTAGTGTCTGTTAGTACCTCATTCCTTTTTATGGCTGAATAATATTTTGTTATATGGATATACCATGATCTGTTTATCCATTCATCCATTAATGGACATTTGGGTCGTTTTCACCTTTTGGTTATTGTAAGTAATGCTCTTATGAACATTCATGTAAAAGTATTTGTTTGAATACCTGTTTTCAGTTCTTTTGAGTATATACTTAGAAGTAGAATTTCTGAGTCATATGGTAATTCTGTGTTTAACTTTTTGAGGAACTGCTGAACTGTGTTCTACAGTGGCTGCACCATTTTTATTCCTACCAGCAGTGTACGAGGGTTCTAATTTCTCCACATTTTCGCCAGCATTTGTTATTTTCTGTTTTGTTGTTTTTTTAAAATAACCACCCTAGTGGGAGTGAAGCGGTATTTCACTGTGATTTTGATTTGCATTTCCCTAATGGCAAATAGTGTTGAACATCTTTTGTGTGCCTGTCGGCCTTTTGTATATCTTTGGAGAAATGTCTATTCAAGTCCTTTGCCCGTTTTTTTAATTAGATTGTGTTTTTGTTGAGTTGTAAGCATTTTTTACATATTCTAGATACTAGACCTTTGTCATATATATGATTTGCAGGTATTTTTGTGTTTAGTTTTGTAACCACTCTTTAAGATCCTTGAAGTCAGGAACAAAATCTTTGCTTCTTCTGTGACCTACCCACACCAAACTTGAAGGAGCAGCTCAGTAATATGTGTTCGTTCGATTCATTGATGCCACTGTTCTTCAAGACTGACTGCCATCTCCCCATAGGTACCTTTTGATTTTGAGAAATAGAGTAGGTGATGTTTCATGAGGATAAGAAGTGGCTAAGAACAGCTACTTGTTCCAAAGAGAAGGTCAAGGTGAGATCGTGTCAGTAGTGTCTACAGCAATGCCCAGGCTTCAGTAATTCCCTGTGCATTTTTGCCGTTCCGACATCTTACTGTATCGTTTGGTCATTTATCCCCTGTGCCCCTTCCCAAAGGGATGGGGACTACCACTTACCTGGCTCATAATAAGTAGGCACCAAATAAAGTATTTGTTGAATTAATGTAGTAATTTCGTTTCAAAAAACTATAACCGAGGCTCTCTGCATTTGCCAGGGTTGTAGAAGATGGCTTTAGGATTATTGCTAGGCCCAGGCCCCTGCTGGCACTTGGCCCTGACCTCTCTCTTCTTCCGGTCAGTGGCATGGATTTAATAAGGGGTGTGGGTGTGGGTGGAGAGAGAAGGTGAGCATGTGCACTTATTTAGAAACTGAAGTTGAAAAAGGAAAGAAGAGGGGCCAGCCCCGTGGCATAGTGGTTAAGTGCGCGCACTCCGCTTCGGCGCCCAGAGGGTTCGCAGGTTCGGATCCTGGGCGCGCACCAACGCACCACTTGTCAAGCTACGCTGTGGTGGCATCCCATATAAAGGAGAGGAAGATTTGGGCACGGATGTTAGCCCAGGGTCAATCTTCCTCAGCAAACAAAGAGGATTGGCATCAGATGTTAGCTCAGGGCTGATCTTCCTTATCCAAAAAAAAGGAAAGAAGAAAGATTGAAGAATTTCAATGCAGGGCCGGCCCCGTGGCTTAGCGGTTAAGTGCGGGCGCTCCACTACTGGCAGCCCGGGTTCAGATCCCGGGCGCGCACCAACGCACCGCTTCTCCGGCCATGCTGAGGCCGCGTCCCACATACAGCAACTAGAAGGATGTGCAACTATGATATACAACTATCTACTGGGGCTTTGGGGGAAAAAAAAAGGAGGAGGATTGGCAATAGATGTTAGCTCAGAGCCGGTCTTCCTTAGCAAAAAGAGGAGAATTAGCATGGATGTTAGCTCAGGGCTGATCTTCACAAAAAAAAAAAAAAAAAAAAATTTCAATGCAGCGTTCTAAGAGAACACAAGTATTGAGATGAATTCAGCCTAGAGATGTTAGTGTGAATCCTCAGTTAGAAATAACAGGTCACATGTTATGGTTCTATCCTTCAGAGTCTCAGATTTAATCATTCCTCTCCACAATTTGCATCATTGTCTCTAAATTGACAAGTGGCCAATGTTTCTGCCATAAAAGCAAAATATGATGTACTTTGATATTTTGAAATGGCAGAGAGTTGTATGAGTTAGGTACCTGTGAGGTCAGTGTTACTATCCCCATTTTACACTTGAGGAAACTGGGGCTCAGGAGAGTTAGGGATTTGCCTAAGACGACACAGCAGGTAGGTAAAGCCGGAATTCAAGTCCAGGTTCATCTGGGTCTGTGATGGGCACTTGTCCTCTAGACCATCCCGCCTGCTCTTGTAGCCTTAAATCATTTCTGCTCCTGTCAGCAGAGCACCTGACATTTAATAGTGTCGACCTGAGAGGTCGTAAAGATTGATGGTGAATGGGAAGAAAGCTCCTATTGATTGTGAACTATATTGGGTTGTTTTTACCATGTTTACCATTAGGGAAAAGAGCTGAAATTTCCACCTTCTCTGATATACTTCTAGGGCACAATGCCTTGTGAGGACTGAAATAGGCTAGATTTCCTTCTCTTTTTAATTAAATTTTAAAAGAAATTCACGTCTGCTGTAAAAATAATTTTAAAATTCCCATCATTTGCCTCAATCCTGAAGCCCTCCCCAGAGGTAATGACCTTTTACAGTTTGGTGTGTATTATCCCAGTCTTTATGTATTTATAGCCATGTAAAAGTTTTATATATACATACATTATAATTTTAGGGCTTTCTTAGGGGGAAAAAAACACAAATCATACTTTGGATATTTTCGGCAGCTTCCTTTTTTCCACTTAAAATATATTTGTCTCACATTGTCTTTCCTCATTTGCAGAGATCCTACAGCAAAGAGTTGTTTGAAGAAGTTATTTCAAAGATGCGGAAGGCAGGGATCAAATCCACAATAGCGATAGAGAAGTTTAAACTTCTTGCTGAGAAAGTGGAGGAGATAGTAGCCAAGAATGCGCGCGCAGAGATTGATTACAGTGATGCTCCAGACGAGTTCAGAGGTGAGTGGACCCACTTTTTTCATGCTGAATTCTTTGATTTGAGTTAACTTGAAGCATGTAACATTAAAAGAGGACATTCTGTGCTTTTAGTTTTTTAATGATGTGCTGTAGTTGCTTTTTGAGACACTTTGTCTGAAATTTCATTTGCCTATGAACTTTTGGTTCATATTGTAAATTAAAAGGGAAAAAAGTCCTTAGCCTGATTTTAAGCCAGCTAACAACCCTAAAGATTCTAAGGTCAGCCTTGCCTTTGCAAGCGGGGATTTGCATTTTCAAAGAAGAATTCTGGGAAGTCCCGGGTTGAAGGATTCTAGCCTGCGTTGTCGTCTTTGCTGCAGAGCCCTGAGGGCCTGTGGCTTTGTCTGTCCTGCTGTCTTTTTCCTCTGTTCTTTCCTCCCAGCAGTAGCTGACAAAAGGGTACTTGCCCCTCTACAAAAGGCAATGTCTATGCCTTTATCTAGTGCTGATATCCTTCTAAACTTGAGGGCCTAGTAGGGGCCATTTGGTTGCTGTTCCTATGGATATATTTTTCACTGATAGGAGGGGCTTTGTTTTGTGTTCTTGTTCAGTTTTAGGCTCTATTATTAGATTACAGTTTGCTTTGTCTCTTTAGACCCTCTGATGGACACCCTGATGACTGACCCCGTACGGCTGCCCTCCGGCACCATCATGGACCGCTCCATCATCCTGCGACACTTGCTGAACTCCCCCACGGACCCCTTCAACCGACAGACGCTGACAGAGAGCATGCTGGAACCAGGTAGAGGAGGGCCCAGCTTGAGTTGCAGTGCCTACTTCAGAACGAAGCAGTGGAGCGAGAATCATATATCAGAGATTAATCAAAGGAGGAAAATTATCAAACCCAGAAGCTACATACTTTATGACACTTAATAGAGAAGACACAAAACACTCTGCTCTTCTTCATTGTTGAAGTCTAGTCCTTCCTTTTCATGTCTTGTTTCTTCTTCAGTCTTCAGTTTAATGAGGGAATGAATGGCCTTTTCTTTCCAGTTATACAGAACTACAAGCATCATCTCTCAGAAGAGCCCTCCCATCTGGGGCATTAATCCTTTCCTTTTCTTTTCTCAGTGCCAGAACTGAAAGAACAGATTCACGCCTGGATGAGAGAGAAGCAGAACAGTGACCATTAAACCGTCCCCCTGGCCCACCCTCTGCTAGAAACGGCCCAGGCTGGCAAGGCGAACAGAAGCAGCATCAGTGGTGAAAATGCTGTTCCAGTGTTGGAGGCCAGATGTGGCAAAATACAGCGAGAGCCACCCAGAGTGACCAGACGGTGGAGATCTGAAAGGACACGAATGAGAGGAAGAGCCCAAGTCCTGTACATATATTTAAGTGACAAATGTGGTCAAAAGTTTGAGGGACATATTTTATGATTGCTTGTGTAGTAAAGCACGTCCTTCATACGTCACAATTTGGGGCTTTTGCAACGGAAGTCTTTTAATAATTGATGACAAGTGGGTCTGGGCAGTATCCCCTTCATCTTTTTTTTTCTCTAAATCCAATATCCGTTGATTTGATTGTGATTAGAGAACCTTGGACGTTTTGCTGCTAAAGAATTTTTCCCCTGCCCCTTCCTTCCTGACCCTACTTGCACTGCTGTGGATTTTTTTAAGAGAAGCAAAAACAAAAATAAACTCCTTCCCCTGGCCCTCCAAACATATATTCTGTGAGATAACTGTGCCTGCAACAAAGTGTTAATCCTGGGATCGTATTTTTATATCATATTCACATATTTGTTTTTTTAATTGGTGTTAGATGACATGATTAATAAAAAAGGCAAGATATTTTCAGAATTTGAATTTCAGTTTTTTTTTTTTTTTCTTTTGAAATGTCCCTTTAAAATTTTTTTATTCTAAATGAAATGAAGAGAATCCTGTTGCTCTGGTCCTTGTAATAAGCCCTGTGTTAGGAATCTAAGGAGCAGCTGCAACCAAGGAAGTGTTTAAGTATATCAGGATTTATGTGACTTATGATTTCTGGGGGGGAGGCAAGGGTTGGTTTTTTTAATGCTCTGTGACAGTTCGAAACCTTTACAGTTATCCTATGAGGGTAAATAAATTCTTTAACTCTTGAGTCTGTGAGTTCAAGGCAGGGGTCATTAGTTTGATGTGTCCTTTGGGGCTTGGCCTTACCAAAGCAAAAAAGGGGTGTAAGAAATGTGGAAGTATGTCTGCTTGTAAAAACACAAACAGACAAACACACCCACACACACGCGCACAAACATAAGACGTTTTGTATTACTGCTCCCTACTTAACATACTTGAATTCTTGAATTTCCTTTGGGGTAAAAACGGATTTGAAACCATAAAGTGTTTTGAAGAAATTAAGTCTACAAAAACATACTTTCTTTTTCTTTTCCTTTTTTCCCCCTCCACAGACAATGTCCTCTGTTCAATTCCTAACGCAAACTACAATAAATGGTGATACACATTCAGAAGGAATCTTCTTTGAGTCTCTTCTTTTTGTGGAAAAAAAAGGGATGGGTGAAGAACAAGAGCCAAATGAGTTTGCATGTGGTGGATTATCTTTTCTGGAGCCAATTAGGAGTCGCTATTTTCACAATAAAACTTGCATATTTGTGTCAGTCTTCATGCTCCATTTGGTTCTCATTTCACTGTTTGCTTGTTTGAGGGGACAGCTTTGTGATATTCGGTCTCTGCCATTCTCAAGTTTTTACCTTTCTCAAATATCTTTTCCCTGACCTTTAAAATTCTTACTCAAGTCCAAGCCATTTCATCAACATTTTCTTAGGCACTGCAGTTTACCTACCAGCTTTCGTGTAATGATAATAGTGAGCATTTCAAGCATTTCCTGTGTGCCAGGCACTGTGCAGAGGTCTTTACATTTATGGTGTTATCCTCTAAGAAGACGGTACTATTATCTTTGTTTTTTCAGACAGGTCAGGGTGTGCGGTGTGGAGAGGTTAGGTAACTTGCCCAAGGTCATCTGGCCAGTTAGTGGAAGAACAGGTGTCCCGGCTCCAGAGCCCATACCCTTAGCCACTATGTCTACACTTCTCTTGAGCACGTTTGTACTATTTTCTTTTTTTCTTCCTGAGGATCATTCGCCCTGAGCTAACATCTGTGCCCATCTTCCTCTCTTTTTTGTACATGGGATGCTGCCACAGCATGGCTTGATGAACAAGTGGTGTGTAGGTCCGCACCCAAGATCCGAACCTGTGAACCCCAGACCCTGAAGTGGAACACACGAACTCAAGCACTACATCACTGGGCCAGCCCCTGTACTAAATCACTTTTTTCCCAAAAAAATATAATGTATTCTGTGAAACAAAAATTTTAGACTAAACCAAAAAAAAAATGAAAATCACCCATAATCCCACCATGCAGATAATTCTGTTAATTTAGTTTACTTTTTACTAAGCTTTTATATATATGTGTGTGTGTGTGTGTGTGTATATATATATATATATATATATATATATATATGCCTATAAAATTGTGATGCTTTGGGGCTTCTATGCCTAATTTTATTTGTATATCCATCCCATGACTGTGTATTGTTTGCTCTCCAATGAGATTATAAACTCTTCACAGGAATAGATTCTGTCGTATTATCTGCGTGCCCCACTCATCCCTCATGCATGTAATAGAATGCTGCTTTATCCCTTCATATGCACTCATCGTTTTGAATAGTCAGAATTCGGAGGTTTCAAGGACCTTCTGGGGTAGGGCGTGTCTTTTGCCTGTACTGTCTCCAGGGAGAAGATGTTTCATGTTTCTATTTTTAGAGTCTCAGGGCTACTGTTTTATAGAAACTTGTGATTGCCTTCAATCTGTTAATTATAGATATTAAAATAAATTCCAAAGTATTTTAAAAGTAGGTCTTGGTAACAAGGAAGATGGTCAAATAGGAAGGAACATCTCAGGATCAGATGAGCAGAAAATAAATGATCCTTGAGAGAAAGATGATTAAAATAACTTCTTTCTTGTTCTGTGACTCACTATTGTGTGGGTTTTTTAAAGGAGTGGATAAAACGTCTTTTGAAAAAAGAACTGAGCACATTATTTTGTTCACGTTTTATAACCTTTGAGTTTGGTACATAAAATAGTGAGTTTCATGGTGTTTTTGTTAGGATGCTAAGGGGACATAAATAGGTAAGTTTTTGATTGAAGGAAACATCCACAGTGGCCTGTGAGCTTGCCGTTGGTATCAGCTAGTGTTGGGCTGAAGGGAGCCACCCTTAGTTGTAGATGATTTGCATTTCATGAGCATATTCTGTGTGCAAGCCACTCTTTCGTGTATTCGTTTAATCTCAACAACTGTATGAAGGAGGTAGTGTAGTAGAACTGACACATGAATCTAAGCCATAGGGGCTTCAGAGTCTGATCTCTTCACCACTCCTGCTGTATGGCAGTATTCCAGAATGGTCCAAGTTCAGAATGCCCAAAGAGATATAGAGAAGCAGCATGGCATTCTGGAAGTGGCTTTGGCCTTGGCGTCAGCTCTAGACCCAACCCTTATTTTATTTTATTTTTTTTAATTTTTTGTTTATTGCAGTAACATTGGTTTATAACATTGTATAAATTTCAGGTGTACATCATTATACTTATATTTCTGCATAGATTACATCATGCTCACCACCCAAATACTAATTACAACCCATCACCACACACATGTGCCGAATTATCCCTTTCGCCCTCCTCC